TCATACAAAATATTACCATGGCGGCAGATTCTAAATCCTTGGATAAACACATTGGCATTGCAAAGAAACATCAGCTCCCTCTAGTTACAAGTCTATCTAGCTAGGTTTATTCGAAGTCAAATTTATTAAACTTTAACTAATAACCATTAAGATCTAAGAATTTTATGTATATTAGCAACACAAGATTGACATTGTTTAGATTTATTATGAGAAATGCTTTCATAATATATGAACTTTGTTGTCAATCTACATAAACTTAAGATAGTGATGATCAAAGTTAAAAGTTTTGACTTAGGACAACTTTACATGAACTTATATTCATGATCAGAGAAAACAATGTTTAACATGCTTTCAAGGCTTTGTGGAGCTCGTGGAAGCCCCGAAAATCCATTTGCTTTTATTATGATTGGTGATGTCATTAATGGACGTGGAATCCGTCCATGGAAGGTGTGGAAATTTTGCATAATATCATACATGAATTACACGCTAAAAATCAATGGGGTGATAATTAAAATTAACTTTGAAAAGGCATATGATAAAATGAAGGGTTAATTAACGTTTATGATACTTTTTTTATCTAATATCGTTGGTGCCATTATAATTCATGCGGAACTTAAAATATGCCACTCTGTACGCTCGTGCGCTATTTGGACCCACTTCCAGCCAATCGTATTTTCGTATAGACCAAAATGCCCCTACCACTCTGCCTCTCTCCACTCGCTAACAAGTGGAGTAGTGGACCCTACTTGTCATTCATTTCCTCTCCTTCCCTACTAAACTTCTGACGACCGTGCTCTCCTCGCCTATGTCGTACGCTGTGGGGGATAGACCCTCGGGTACCACAAGATGGTACATGGGCCGTACCATCCGAGGTGGCCCGGCCCGTAAGATCAAGGCGTGCACATCAAGATTATAAGTTGTACTAGATATTATAATAGTACCAAATTGGATACTTTACTTGTAACCTTGTCTCTTCGGAGTATATAAGGAGAGACAAGGGTCCCCTAGAGGACAGATCCATAGAGATCAGACAACATACATCTCAATACAATACACCAAAGACACAGGACGTAGGGTATTACGTCGATCAGACGGCCCGAACCTGTCTAAATCGCTGTCTCTGCGCCTTGTGTCACCATCTGGTTCCTGATCACATGCATCCTACCGATAATCTACCACCACGGGCACCCCCCTCGGTGGACTGCCGACCATATTTCGTCGACATACGCCACCGTCGGAGCCGTTACTCTCCTCGCCTATGTCGCGCGCCACTGCCACATGTGGTCCCAATCACTGGGTCAGGCGGCACTAGAACCTGCCGCCCTCCAAGCGGACCTAGCTATGGTCGGCAGTGACAGTCGTGAAGGTCGCAGGCGTACTTGTTGCGCCCATCCAGCTCATGCCTTTGCTCCCGCGCTACTACTCCAGCCCGGCCCCTTGCCCATCGTTAGCTGCCGTCGCCTTGCCCGCTCTAGCGGCCCTGTCCCGCTCGACCCGCTCTAGCATTGCCTTCTACACAACCACCGTTGTCAGAGCCTACCCACCAGCCAAGTGTCGCTGGTGACCCACCGCTACGGTGGAGGATGACACCGTCGAGCGCATCTTCGGCAAACGGCACGACCACCACCGCAATGGAGGAAGCGAGGCGGGCCAGGGCAAGGTCAGACAACGGAGACAGGGTATTTGGGTCCCTACGAAAATCCGTTGGACTGCAAGTGGGTTCATGTAGTAGTCCACAAACATAGAAAGTGATATATTTCAAGTTTTGGATGAATTATATAATGGCACGACGAGAAGTAGTGGCGTTTCTAAAAATATCAAATTTATAATATCATGGTTCTAACTAACCCTAAAGTCGAATGGTCCTTTTTACAACAAACCATGTGAATGAAGAGGGTCTTACAAGCGGTGGTGTAAATAGCTAGAAAAGTTTGTAACCGGAGGTAGTGCGGGCATCAAGATTAATAATGACATCGGGTACTATTTTCAAATGAAAAAGGTATTAAGCAAGGAGACCCTACTCATTCTTTTCAACATCATCACGTCAGATATGTTTCCAATTTTTATTAGGAGAGCAAAAGATGATGACCAAATAGAGAAATCATACCTCGCCCTCGCATAGTGGACAATAGATTGTCTATCTTGTAATATGTTGATGATGTAATGCTTTTATATATGGACCATGATTTGGGGTAAGCTAAGAATATGAAATTGTTGTTCGGTGATTTGGAACAAATATCTGGTCTAAAATTTAATTTCCACAAAAATAAGATATTCTATTATGGTGAGGCAAAGCATTATGAACAAGAATATACTCAGCTTTTTTGTTATTAAATGGGATCATATCTGTTTTGATACTTAGGCATCTCACCACAAACTTTGCAGTGCATACTGACGTTTTCAGGAAAGATTTAGATGTAAACTAAGTATTTGGAAGGCAAAACATATGATATATGGGGGCAACTTGTTTTACTAAATTCAATCCTTAATAGCTTACCTATGTTTATGATGTCTTTCTTGAAATCCCAAAAAGCATTCTAAAGAAAATTGATTTCTATTGTTCAAGGTTCTTTTGACAAGGTAACAACCTCCTCGCCAAGTGGGATATTCTCTGTCACCCCAAAGATCAAGGTGTCTCGGCATAACAAATCTCTTGATTAAAAATAAATGTCTTCTTAATAAATGATTATATAAACTACTCAATAAATAAGGAACCTAGAAGACCTTACTTAGAACTGAATATTTGAGTTTAACATGTTTATCACACGTATACATAATAAACCGATGATTCTCATTTTTAGAAAATGTCTTTTAAAGGTTAAGGAAGACATTCTAGGGCGTGGAACCTTCAAAATAGGACATGGTTCACAAACTAGATTCTATGAGAACAATTGAGTGGGTTCTAAGTTCCTTAAAAACTTCTATAACATAGTCAATTAGCCCTATGCCACAACGGACATGTTATGAACCAGATGCCACTAAATGTGTCTTTTCAAAGAGTTTCGTGGGGATAAATTGAGTGCTTGGCATAATCTTAGTAGATAAATTTGCCAATGTTCAGCATAAGGAGTTTTTCCCTAGGATTTATACAGACATGATGTTTTTTAGTGCAATCTATGTACCATGAACCAGGGTTCCCCTTTCAGGAATACAATAATTTGGAAGCTGAAACTCCCCCTGAGATAAAGATCTTCATTTGGTATCTTCAATGAGGGGTGATTTTAACAAAGGATAAATAAGCTAAAAGAAATTGGCATGGGAGTCAAGTGTTGTTTCTACGATTGCAATGAAACGATTAGACACCTCTTCTTTGATTGTCAGCATACTAAGATAATCTGGCGTACAATTCACATAGCTATTGGGTTGACCCCTTCTAAGCCCATACCTTATATGCCCGAAAATTGGTTAATTGTCATTGGAAATAGTGAACGAAAACTGATTATTTGCTCCCACTCTTTTTCTGGGCTCTTTGATGTACACCGAATGATTTTGTTTTAAAAGGAACAATTTGTTTCTTTTATGTAGGATACATTTAGGGGAGCATACTGGTTGTGATTTTGGGTTTTATTACAGCGTGGGATGCAAAGGAGATCATCCGACTAGCAGACCAAGCACTTGAGGTTGTTGCATTGATATTTTCGTCAAGAATACGGAGAACCAATAATAGACTTTGTTTATAATCACTTTCATCTACTTGTGTTCTCTTTTTTTTTCTTCAGCCAATTAGCTGAAAAATCTTATAAAAACTTGCGATGTGCGGTCGCAAAGGTGGAAACTTTGTCATTGTCCTCTATAAAAATAAAAAAAGTGAACGTAGTTAGGAAACATAGTGAGGACGATTATAGTCAAACAAAAAAATACTTTTTTAAAAAAATACTTTCAAGCAAAAGAAATCTTAATGGTTATAGTGAAAACTAGCTACCTGCGGTGGATCAACCTGCTAGTTTCATCGTGAAAACCGAATGTATGTCTTTTCACGACGAAACTGCTTTCTTTTATCCCTCTCGACTTGAGGACTCGAGTTGAGAAGGCAATAACTTTCGGTTTTCAAGCAACAATTCATCACCTCTAATTTTTTTGAGATAAAGGGTTGGATTTTATTATTTATATAAGAGAACCTTTACATCTAGCCCTTTGCAAGGGTACCCCTGAAAGAAAATAAAATTACATTGAACTAATAAAAGAGACCTTTTGTTCTTCTTTCCATTGGCCCATAAATCCGGCCTGCCCACACAATCGCACAGGGCCATGAGGCCTCACGGCGCTGCGGCTGCAGCCCATCTGCCCAGAGCGGTGCGGTGTTCGATGATCTGCCCTGCTGGCCCAAACCCTGTTCCCGTGCTAGAGGAGCGAAAAAGTCGGGGTTCCTGTGCGGCGACGTGGCGGAGGGCCGGAGACGACGGCGGCGACACACCAACCCTTCCTCGAACCGACGGTTTCTTCTGACGACGCCGAGGGCTGTTGGGTGGCTCGCTTCCAGCTCGTGTCTCGAGTTGCGGTGGCCGGAGTCGGGAGCTGCCCTGTTTTAGGAGCCAGCCTTCAGCTGTTAACTGCATGTTCCGACCGGCAACGGCCAATAATGTGCTTCATTCGTCTTCTTGCTCCAACCTCTCGAGGCAGGTTCCACTGCGGCTTCCTTTAATAAATGCCAATATATTTGGTTTATGGGCTTGGCTGTCTTGAGGCCACCGTATCCGTCCGGGGCTCGTTTTCTGAAGTTCGTCTCCAACGACGATACGGTTCGGCGAGCGGGTCTGTGTTCATGGTGGCTTGAACAAGATGGAGCCGGGGTGCTTCAATGCGTTTATTAGTCATTTATTAGTCCTGTTTCGAGATCGTACTTCAATCAAGGTTCTGTATATGTATCCTGCTCCGCTGCACTAATTTCTTTCGCGTGAGAGAAGAATTCTTGGGCTCTTGGCCTCTTGGTGTTGGAGTCGGAGACAGAGTCCGGGGCACCCAACCCAAGTCGCGATCGCGCCATATATACCGATGCCAACATGGGTGCCCTGGTGCAACAACAAAACCCCAGCCCGCACAAGATGGAGGCAGGGAGAGGCATAGTGAACTCGGAGGCGTCACCCTTCTGCGACGACTTGGACACCTGCGTCACCAACTGCCCCGAGGGTGCTCCGGCAGAGGCCGGGGCGGGGAATAAGCCCGATGCGGCGGCGGAGGGCAAGGTCGAGCCCGCAGGAGCAGCGAAGAAGAAGAAGCTGGTGAAGGTGCCGGTGAAGATCCAGTACATTAGAGCTCTGGAGGCGCGCCCTCCAATACCCCCAAGATACCCTCGTGGCCTCCCCGAAGATCTTCTCCAGCTTCCCCCCGAGTCCAAAACGAAACAGGCATTGTGGGATAGCCTCGCCGAGATAGCAGTAGATCTGAAGTTGGACTACGACAAGAAGATGGCCATCCTACACCAGTACTACACGTATGGGTGCGCCTATGAGGAGATCGAGGTCGGGGACGAAGACGAGGAGTGATCAGGGGGGATTGATCCATGGTGAATTGAGGAAGATCAGGTGCATTTGGATCAACTGAACTAGTTGGTCTATCTAAAGTTTATATAGGTAACTAAAATTTAGGAAACTGAATTAAATTTAGAGTCATATAACACTGTTTGGATATATGGACAGATTAACAACTATAGTTGAATTGATTACTTATTTAGACTAATAAAGTTTAATCTACCTGAATTAAAAAAAACTTTAATCTACCTACTACTCTACCCGTTTAGATGGCCTAAAATAGGTCCTAGCTGGTTCTTTTTATTTTGCATATATGTTTGCTTTGTCACCTTGTCCTTCTATTACCGCAAATATAGGCAGTAGTAATTCTTTTGTAATGGGACCATCATTCCATCAACTTGATGTTATTCGTGCTATTAAAATAAGTGTTATTCGTATCAGTCAAATTTAACTAGTTTATAGAAAATATTAGTAATATTTGTATCTTCAAATAAGTTTATTATAAAAATATATTCATTGATCTATCTAACGATACCAATTATATACTATAAATATTAATATTTTCTTGTTTATATTTGGTCAAAGTTAAAAGCGTACCGCGTACGACTCCTTAAAAAACAAGAACAATACTTATTTTAGGACAGAGGGAGTAAGCATGTCTCGTCGTATCTGCTCGAATTTTTGTGCTCCATCTCCCTCTTCCTCTATTTGTGTGCCCACGCTTGTTCGCAATTGGATCGCGTCAATAACCGAGGGCACAACTCTATGCGATAATATGTGAGTAGTAGGACATGGCGTCGTCAATGGTAGTGATGAGCATCGGGGTGGTGGAGGCACTCAAGGACCAGGACGGGCCTCTGCCACTGGAACTACACACTGCAGTTCATCCACCGGGTCGCCAAGGCCAACATGCGCAGCTTCGCGTAGGCCAACCGGCATAGACGGAGAGGAGGGGACGAGGACAACTGCCATTGTCGCTGAAGCATGAAGGATGCACCAATCCAAGCTTCCATTCCGGTCTCATCTATTCGTGAATCCATCTACAGACATGCGAATAGATGCAATCTGCTACTTCAACATGCCTGGCCCAGGCCCAACTACATTAAACAAATTAGTAATTTACTAGCAAACATTTTCCTCTTATTCCCCTATCATCAGGTGGATGATTTTCCTTACCGAATTCTCCAACGTGTGTTCTCCATGTAGTCATGTAATATTTGCTATTAAGAACTTTGACTAAATATATATAACAAAATACTATTATTTACAATACATAATTTGTATCATTGGATAGATTTTTGAATATATTTTCATAATAAATTTATTTAGAAATATAAATCTTGTTAATATTTTTTACAAATCTAGTCAAACTTAAAAAAGTTTGACCAGTATGAGTCCCGATTCTTTTTATGGGAGAGACAGGTGAAACCCAAGCAATGCTCACTTTTGTACACCACTTTTCCCCCCTCACGTTCTGCTTTTTAGAAGGAAAGAATGGTTTGTATTTGCATCATTATTTATTCATAATTGATTGCTACCTATAGCTTCCACGTGAGTATTTGGATGGTTTCCTCTTCTCACAACTTTTCTCCTAGTGATGTAGAGCTCTCCTAATATTTAATATTCAATATTTAGTATAAACTTTTTCCCTACCAAATGCCTTCTAGAGAGGATTTCCATGTGCTAGGCCTGGTGTAGTGTTCTTATTAATACTTAAAACATTAGGAGAACTCCACTATTTTGGTAGTGTCTCTCTATGTATATTTCGTCTTGATCAAGAGATACCATTTGATTGATAGGTGTTTTGTCAAACTTTTCAGTTATTGAAGATGGGTGATGTTGTCTACCAAGTTTAAGATTTCAATTTAATTATGACGATGAAGCCAAAATTATCCAACTATGGTGCATTTTTTCTCTACATATGCTTCCTCCATAAATTCTATTTCTATATATCGCTACAAAATTCCGCGGCAACGCATTGGATATTGTCTAGTTAGCATAAATAGCACTGACGAAAAGCTTTATATCCAACCGTGCAAATGTCTTAAGTAGATCGATGGGAAGATCGAAAGCAACATTGTATCCACTAATTCCACGAGTGCTCTATAAATCATCTGATTCTGATGGAAACTAAACTAAACCGGTGATGGATTATTGGACCTTGAGGATGATCCAACTCGTACGTCACCGGCCCCACGAGCCACACGACGCGCACGTTGCATCCACATTGATCAGACGCTAGCTCGCTCGATCGACGTCGCCGTCGTCGACCACGACCATCCATCCATCCCCACTTCCTCCCCACATTGAAGCCGAAAAGGCCCGCCGCGCACGCGACGCGAGCGAGCTGCCCCTCCCGATGCCATGAAATAACGAAACGGCAAGCGACCGGTCGACCGAGCTGTCGCCGCATGCCCGTTACTGAACCGTTGCGCGCGCGGACGTCCGGGCGGTCACATCGGCCACCAACAACGCGATGTGGGCTCGGCAACTAGGATTGACGCATCCACCCCCAGCCCTGGCCCGGAACCTTCGCGCGTCACGGCCACGCGCGCGAGCACGCCATTGATATACCGTCCCGGACGGAAAACGACGCCGGCGCGCGCGCTCACCTGACCTCTCGGTGCGCGCTGCCGCGCTCGCGCGCGCGGCGACGGCGTGTACGTCGTGTCCGTGGTGGTGCAGCGCGGTCGTGCGCTTCCGTGCGCGCGTAGGTTGCTTGAGATCAAATAAAGCCCGTCATCCTCCATCGACCGGGTAAGCTTTTGCTGTACACCTCGCGAGAGCTAGCTTCCCCTGCTGATCGACGCTGACATCTCTGGCAAGTGCTATATAACTAACACGATGCTGGCCTCTCGATCGGAATGATTATTAAGTACCGGATCAGTTGCAAAACGGCCGAAAAATCCGGCCTCGTGTACTTTTGTTCACTCCCGCGGCAACACAACGCATGCTTAATTAGGTGCACGCAGCGCACAGTACCTTTCCGCACAAGCGTGTTCATTGTTAATTTCTTCCTGGCTAGCTAGCTAGTAGTTTCATTAATTCTCTACTATAGCACATAATGGGATTTAATTTTAGATTCGTTTCTTTGGAAAACCGGAATATGATAACCTCTTTGGAGAAAAGATGTCAGCTTCTCGATCTAGTTGTGTGGTGAATGAACGAAGCGTACCTAGTTGTTCATTCAAATATATACAAACAGAAGTTAGCACAGCTTATGAGTTATGACTAAAACGTTTATTAGTGTAACTGTGAATTGAGTGTAGTAGCTTTGTTGGTTAAGTTGCATGTGATCCAACTTATCCACCACCTAAGTTTGAATCTTCCACTTTGTAGATTTTGAGCATATATGCCAGACTAATCTCTCGGAGATGCATGCTCATCATAGGGGTAGATTGTGAGCATATCGATGCGTTTGTAGAGATGATGAGTGTGCAATTTAATTTATCCGACTATTTAAAAAAATATTGACTTTGTAGTTTAGAAAAAAGATAGCTCTCGATCAATTTCGCTAAGGACAACACACTAATTTAGAGGAATGCACATGCACTTTGTTTTGACTAAAGTGACAATTAGTACTACACTAAATTGGTCGTATAGTATATAGTAATAGCTAGTTAAAATATTATTAAAGCCATAAACACGTGCATGATATATATATATAGGAGTAGATGTTTATAATGACTTAATTAGCTTTGCACAGTACATCATCAGCAATTGTAAAAGTTCTTTCAGGTTGTTAAATGTCATGTCGAGCATATAGTAGCAACAGGAGTCTTCACCGTTACACTGTCTTTGCTAGGATAATGTTACTAAAGCGATTCGACAGAAACGTGAACGGATGAAGTTTCGTCACCGAAAGTAGACAAATACCAATTAGCTACTGGATCTTATTTTTCTACTTTTTTCCAAATCTTTTTGTTCAATCAAACATGTCATCATAGAGTTGGAAGTCGTCCAAAACAAAGCAAACACACACAGTGATTTATTGACGGTACAGAGCTACCATCGGAGATGGCGTACGTAGCTAAAAGGGCTAATATATAGTCACAAATATACACACACACGATTATCAGACTACATTAATAAAGTATTTCGATGGTAAATATCTCTCATGATAAATGTGCTATATATACTACGTACTGGGCATATCATCGCGCGCCGTCATATTTTGATGACCAATGAATTAATGTTAAATTGGACTAGGTAGTGAAACATGAAGGAATCATGCATAAATTGAGACGGTAGTGAAATTGGTGTGCTATTTAACATGAAGGAAACATGCATAAACATGATCAATTGTAATATTAGAAACGGACAGGGAATCAAACATTCTTTATAATTATCAAATAAAATTTACAAATAGATGAGATAATAATTAATTTCTCATTTATCTCAGAATAGTTTTGCATATGTACCCCCAACGGTGGATATGGACAGATATGTATACATCAATAAATTACATGTCATATGTACGGTGTATTTTGCTTCCTCTATAAGTACGTTTGGTGTTAGATTGCTATTTGCAGCATGCCTCTTTCACAAAGCATTACAACCTGCTTTGGATCCATCCCTAGTTAAATATATATAATAGATATAAATCACTGACGATGAGAAGCCCCAACCTCCAGAAAATCTATGAACTGCACCTGCCCTTCAGCTTGATCATCCCGGTTCTCCTCTTGCTCCTCAATGCTCGAACCACACTTGGTGTCGCTCGAGTTCACATTCACTTGGAGAAAATCATAGAATTCAACTGATTTGTTTGTGTCTGCTGATCAAATTTGAAATCACATATAATTAGTTAAGCTGATATTTATATTACCACAATCCCTACTACTACATGTGTACAAACATGCATATATCACATATCAGAGAATGAAAAATGTGTGTTATAGTAGCATACAAGTGCAGTCATCATGCATGCAAGATATATAGCAGTATTCACCTTCGTTTGTAGTTGAACAATAGTCCTGCTTGTTGCTATCATGGTTAATGGCAAACGGGACGGA